GTGAACCCAAACTTCTTCAATACACGGTGTGTGCAAGAGTTAAATGAAAGTACTCCAGCAGCTCATGTGCTCTCTGTGTGCGCATACTTTCCTAATCTTGACATGGGGTCTGAGCCGCAGGCTCGGAGGGTGTATGTGAAGTTGGCTTGGCTGTCACCTTTTCACTCCCCGGCCCTGGCTGCGGCTCAGCCCGGGGACGCTGCCGCCGCTGGCACCGCGGGCTGCAGGGAGCGCTCGGGCCTGGGGCTGGCCGGGCCTGGCACACCCGTCCTGCCCTCACGGCTCCCTGCCCGCGCGGGCAGCCGGGAAGGGCCGTGCTGCCATCGCCCCCCCTTCCCCGCGCCTGGAAGATCTCTTGCGCCCGTCTTGTGCGCTCGGGTCGATCTGGACGAGCTTTCTGCTCCTCTGTTATCACCATCTAGCTGGAGAGTAGCTACCTCGGCGGATGGGCCTGCTTTAAAATGGGAACAGCTGTACGGAGTGGTCTCGATGCTGGTGGGCTGTTCCTGCAGGTGGGGAGAGGAAGGGCAGAGCACGTGCTTTTCTCCTCTAGGTGACAAAGTCCTAAGGGCAACTTGGTCTTTGGCTCTCCGGGAAGAGAAGTTGCAGTTCTTTCAGTCCACAGCACGCTGTCAAAAATCACCGAGCATTTCTGACCATAGGCTGGAAATGAAAGCTGCCAGTCTTTCTTTTCCGCTTAAGTTTCTTTGGGAGAGGCTGCCAGTGGCCACCTTGCCCCACCCTGCAGACGTGTGGGCGGGAGTGGGGGTAGCCGGCAGGAGGGAACATCACCAAAAAGGCAGAGTGATTTGGCTCGTGGCCACACACAGGAGCAGGAACAGCTGCCTGGATGGCCCCCGGAGCCTCACTGATGTCAGCATAACCAGCGCTCCTTAAAACACAGCGCCTTGTGGGGGGGGGGTGATGGGCAGGAAGGCGGGGAGCAGCTTGAGGGGGTTAAGCAGCACATAAAACCACCTCCACGGTTCTTTCTTTCACCCCCCTCTTCTAAACAGACATCTACTTTCTGTAGGAATGGGAAGGATTTGGGTGAGTGAGAGTTGTAAGAAATTCATAAAACTAAAACTAGTTACCAAAAGCAAAGAGCAGAAGGAGTATGCATTGCAAAATTTGCATGTGGCTGCAGCGTGTCTGTTTGCTTAGGTTTCTTCCTTCTAAGAGGAGTGTGGCTAGGAACAGTTCGGCACTGTTGGATAAATCTGTTAGTGCTGTTCCCTCCTTTGTCCCCTGTGTTGTCTCTGAGAACCTGTCACACTGTGACAGATCATACTGTCAAAGATCATACTGTGTTTGAAAAGTATCTGGCTTGCCTTGGGATGCTGCATGAAATACGGCAGGATGTGGCATCCTGCAGGGAGCATGTCATGTGTGCTTACTTGGCCTCCTGCGTGTGCTTGAGCAGAGGAAGGGAATGCACATCAGAAGAGCACAGTTGTTCGCAGCTTCCTTCCACTCCCCTTGGTTGCCGCAGAGAGACGGCACTTTGTGTCACCCATGAGGTTTACCCAAGCTGCCTTTCCTGGTATGTTGATAGCCAGGTTCCCTGATGGAGATGCCTCTGCATGGTTAAGGGCGGGGAGGGGGGAGCTGTCTCATGACATCCATGATGTGGGATGCACAATACAAAATTACCCCATCATAGGTACTGAACTGGATGAATGTGAGTTCCTCTCAGGCCAAATATGGCTTTTTCCAGTTTAATAACTAACATAGCAGTTTCCAGAAGTCACAAGAGAATCTGATGTGTAGCTGGAAGTGCTGAGGGAAGAGGATACCAGCTTTTCCAGAACTGTGTAGCTCAATCACAGAACGAGGTTGGACTGGACATGAAACTGGATTCCAGGGTGACGTGGTGATTGCAGCCTCTGCCGGCTTTGCTTCTTCCCACAGCTGGGGAGTTGATTTTCCCAGCAGGCCTGTGCCAGCTTAGTCCTGCTGCTAGTCTTGTGGTGTTATCCCAGCTCAGAAGTCGTGCTTGAATTTCTTGCAAAGTGGTAAGCAGCACGCAAATCTAGGCGACAGGGGTGAGCCAGCCTACCCGGGCTTCTTGCAAAGCTGAATTTGCAAAATGCTGTCTCCATCAAGGGCGATGTAATAATAAGTTGCAGAGATTCCGTCTTGAAAAACAAACAGTGAAACACAGGCATTGGGGGAGGAGGAGGTAGTGCTCTTTTATAAGGTTCTTTCTTTTTGTTAACTCAGGTTAGCTTTAGTAGCTGGATTAACTTTTTCCCGTATCATTCCAAAATTCTTGTAGTAATTAGGAAAGATGACAGAAGGTCACAGGCCTCGTACGTGGCCGAGTAAGCATCTAGTTACATTCTTTTCAACTGGGATGGTGGCATGAAGAATTTCTTTACTGAAGGTTGCAGAGGGAGACAGTAAGAGAGGCAGAAAAAGAGCCCAAATGCTGTGAATCCAGTCCTGTGTCTCTACCATTAGATCATGCTTCCTGTCTAGGCAGATGAGCCCACATAAAAACCCCTGTTCACAAACAGATGACATTCAAGTACTACCAGCATTGTAAAATATGGCTAGGACTAATATATTTGCTCTGACTTTCATCTTGAGTGCCTGGTGGAACACCTGTAAGTATTTACATTTTAACATGGGCTTTTGTGCTTGTGAAAGCAGACAGTTTGACAGCAATGACCTCTTACACAAAAGCCTGAATAAGTGATGAACTTCCAACAAATCCATGACCTGAACCCTGTTGGATGCATATTGAAGGTGACAAGTTAAAAGCTGGCAGTACCAACAAGAGGCCTGGCTCTGTAGCTGGGCTCTTCTGGTGGAGGTGAAATGAGCTTCTAACCACTGTCCCTATCCAAAGGTCTGGAAGTAAGCGTGCTTGTATTCACTGGCTGGGTGAGAACCTCAGGCAGATGTTTGATGAGGAAAAAACTTAATTTTTTTCCAAAGGTTTCTTGTTCTGCTGCTGTACTCTGACCCTGGATGAAGGGCTTGGTTTATGTTGCAGAGGAGGCAGAAGGGTGGATGTGTCTCCTCCCAAGCAGAGCACTTCAGAGTTTGCTGTGTTTTAATTGAATTGAGTGGTAGTTAAAACTTCAATTATGGGCATCTCTGGAGTTGGACGTGTCTCTGCTGCAAGCACAGTAACCACTGGCCGTCAGACAGGGATGACAGCCCTGGTACAGTAACCTCTGAAATCACCCTGACCTGAATCACGTTGAAGCTGCGGCTCTGGTGACATTTCCTCAGGACTGCCCTGTCCTGGAATGAGCAGTTCCTGGTACCTGCTTCTCCAGTGAAGCTTGGATTCAGTGCAGAGAATGGTTCCTCAAGCTGACAGAAATGCCTCTGGATCTGTTGCTTTAGTTCTGTGCTAAATTCTGTGGAGTAAGTCATGCTGTGTTTTTTGCTTGCAAAACTGAAAACCAGAGGGAGTCCTGATTGTGTCTTAATACCAAGTCAGACCCAAAGCTTGTCATGCCCAACGTGCTGCTCAGTGTGGATTTATCAAAAGAGTTTTTGGCAAGAGGGCACCTATTAATGATGCTTTCCTAATGTAGTCTACCAGCAACATGCAGCTTCTGGAATCCCTTGAACCAAAGGGTATTTATGTAGTTACAGTATTTAGGTTCAAGAATCCTTTTTTTGTTAGCTTGTCCAGTGGCTTTTTGAACCTGTACTGACTCTTGGTGTGTTGTGATGGTGAGTTCTGCAGCTTATCTGTGTGCTTTGTTGGAGAGGTGGTAAAAGTTGTATATTCTAAACCTCTCATTTTACGCTTTCACTTAATATCGTTTAGGACTTGTACTAAAGGAAATAGCAAGTATTCATTCACTACCAACCTTCTCCACACCTTTCAGGATTTTCTGGACCTCTGCTGTATTACCTGTGTGGCCTTCCTCCCAGGAATTACCTGTGTGGCCCAACTCCCAGGTTGGAGTCCTAATCTGAGTATCATTATTATGCAGAAATTCTTCCATACTTTTGATTTCAACATTCATCGATGTTTTTTAGAGCTTTGGTTTGCCTTGTTAACATCTATCACAGGCACAAGCCAAAAATACTTTATTTGCCTAGATATTTATTGCTGTAAGACATGTACTTGGACAGGCTTTAAAGATTCCAGGTGCTGCCATGATTCTGCAGCAGTTTTTTTTGTGAAACTTTCTCCATGCTGGCAAGTTGCAGTCAGAAGATGATGACTGGGGAGGTTGTTTGTAGGTCTGGCTCAGTTACTTCCATCCTGATTGCTTGAGAACTGCCTGTTTAAATGGTGCTTTTCTTGCTGTTTTCCTTCCCAGATGCACATGGTTTCCATGAGCAATGTCCCTGTATCCCCCCACTTAATATGCCCCCTGCTTCCTCCCTGCAAATGGCAGCCTGAAGCATGCCCTGTGTATCTAAAACCATGGCGAATACAACTTACCAGAGACAAGGGACATTTGTCCTTGCTCACTCTGGGTGTTTCTTTAGGTTCCACTTAAACAGAGAGATACTACCCACAGCAAAGTTTGCCCACTTCCTATGCTTGCCTCCTGATTTGTGATAATGACCAGGATTCATCCATCAGCTTATTCTTGTCCAGTATCAGAGGAATTGTTTTGAGCTCACTGGAGTAAAATTAGCATATTCTGCAATTCTGCTGTGTTTCCATCCCTTTTTTAATATTTGCTAGTTGTGAACCCACTTATCCACTTGTAGGACTGACTGGTCCATGCTGATGGACTTTGAGATTTTATTTTTTTGCAACTGAAACAATCTTGCTTCAGTACCAGCCATAGTGCTAGTATTTACTTAGTTAGATTGCTTTACAAATCAGTGCTTACAAGGCTGCTGAAATGCAGTCGCTTGTGGAGAGTGAGGAAGGAGAGGTTTAGATCAGGTCATGCTAACCCCTTTCTTCCTCTGTGTGCTGCACATTCTTCACTGCTGACATGGGCTAAAAAGGAACCTTGCCTTTTAAAGCTCTACCTTAACCTGCCCACCAAATGATGTGTACTACTTGATTTGTGTTTAGCTGTTGAAAACTTTATTCCAACTCGCCTGAACTGGGAACTTGGTTGCAAGAGTGACTCTAGTTATTTGAAACCTTCTGGTAAGGACAGCCTTTCACAGTGAGAACTCAGTTTTATCTAGGTTACTTGCTCCCTGTATTAAGCCTCTCACGATTGATGAAATGTAGTGGTCTTAGGAGAAACAAGCCCTGTTCATCAGGTACTGCTGATTTATGATGATAGACTTCAAAGGTTGCTGTGTGTAAAACCATTCTAAATAAGCTGTTCAGCACTTAATACTGAGCTCTGTAGGCTTTGTGAATTATATAGCATTTGAAAGTAGCAAGCATATGTGTTTGGAGAAAGGAAGCAGGGCCTGTTCTTATAAACTATCAAGTTTTGCTTATAGGTCTGATTGCTGAATTCAGAGCTCCTCTTGTATTGCTCTGCTGCTGCTCTGTGCATTTAGTAGCTTAAATTTAAATTAAATATAAAGTTCATGTGAGGAGCAAGGAATGGAGCCTCTAGCATGGCATATGCTTTGCAGGTGTCTCTCTGCTCTTGGGTGTTAGATCAGGAAAACCTAAAAATAAACATAAAATAAAGTCATTGTGTATGTGTAAGCAGGAGGGCATGTTTATGTTGCTTTAATTAGAAGTATTTTCTTGACTGCTTGTTTTCTTGGGGTATGTATTCAAAATAATAAATATTTTAAATATCTTAAAGGTATGCCTTAAAGTGCTAGGCCAGAAAGCTGGTAAGGACTTTTTGTATTTGTCCTTCTGTCTTTTGAAAGTTCAGTTTTGGCTCAGTCAGTTCTCTTAGCAGACCTACTGTGCAGCTGATGTAGTTGTGTTGGCAGAAGGAGGTGGGAGAAGAACAGAGCATGACAGGACTTCTGGTTGCAATGCAGGTAGAACAGATTTTAAAAGCCTGGGCAATCATTATTAAAAGGACCATTGCTCAAACCATCAGAACTGTCATGTCTTCCTAGTGAAGCAAGGATCAGGATGAAAAGTGGAAGAATGATGTGGAATGCCTTTTAGCCAGTTTATCTTTGCAAGGTCCTTGAATCAAACATGGATGCAACAAGATGCATTGCCTGCTAGGATGGATCCTTGATCCTGGAATCAGTGCTGCTAGGTTAATGGATTCCTGCAGACAGAGCCTAATCCAAGCTTGCTCCATGGCTGGGGGGTGATTAGTAATGTCTTTTGTATCTGTCCTTGTATATAGCAGTTGCATCTGCTGTGTATGTTGGGCTTAGAATCTTTGCTGTCTTGGAGTTGTGATGTTGAAAAACCAGCACAACCATTTTGTATTTTTTTAAAGATGCTTAATTTTTAACATTTAGGTTCTTACCTGCCCTCTGGCTTTCAGCCTACTTGAAGGTGAGAATGAGCATCCCCTTCATGGTTAATGTCAGTTCATGGACATCTCTGCTGTGATTCCAGAAACTGTAAGAGTGGTAGGCTTATGTTAATAGAGCCATTTTCCCCAGTCCCTCCCCTTTTCCTTTTCCCACTTGCCCCTGTCTTTCAGGTAAATTGTGGTGTTTGCCTTTAAAGGTTGTGTTTAACACCACTTGTATTCAAGCATCTTCCCTCTACCACTTCAAGGCAAGTATTCTTCCAGGTATGTGACTGCAGACAATGCAAAGGGAAAAAAATCTCAATGGAGATCTGTTCTTGATGTTTTTTATCTCTTTGAAGATGCATTTTTAAGAGTCTTTTGATATTTAGGTATTTCCTCCCAGCTTTCCCTTTTCTGGTGTGTCTTTGCCTTGGTAACTAAAAAAAATTCATAATGACACTGAATTAGTGACTTCAGAATGGTTCCCTTGGCAACCTAAATGGGCATCTGACATCATAGGATGAAGAAGCAGTAAAACCAGCTTGAAGAGGTTTAGTTGTTTGGGGGTTTTTTTGTGATCTGTTTACCCCCTCACCTCTAGCAGTTCACTCCTACTGTTACAATCTTCTGAGATGCTGATACAAGGATTTGTGGGGTTTCACTGTAAGCCTTATCTCTAAAATGTTCTGAGTAGCCAGTCCTCTTTATTTTTTTTTGTGGCTTTGAACAATCATACCTCACCAACTTCTGTTTTGATCAATGAAGGAGAGTCAAACCATAGGCTTTCCCTTGCATGAGAATGAGTGGCTGAAGGAAGGAAAGAGCTTCTGGAGAGATGCTGACCCTCAATGCAAGCAGCACAAAACTACATGCTGTTTTTATCAAGAGGCTTGAGAGTTTTGGCTGCAAAGATAGTCTCATCTTCTCACCTTATCAGACATTCTCTGTTTTCTCTCTTGATGCAAATCTTGTTACTGCATTAGCTGTGTAAAAAATTCTGGAAATTGGGTCTCCTTATAACTGTTCTTTCTGTTTCCAAATTATTTTCCATCTTGAGAGAGTATCTTTCTTAATCAAGCTTGATATTGTGTAAGGAGATCATGTTTCATCACGTAAGATTGTGGTCCAGGTTTTGTTCTGACTGGACTGGTACAAATGTGGTGCAGCTTTGCCTGTGTTGGTGTGTCGTTTGTGGAAGAAGTCGGTCTGAGTAGCCAGGGGCAGAGTATCAATCACAGCCCAGAAATACCAGCTCGAGGAAGACAAGAGTGAAGACTGATGTAGGTTTTGTTGGAATGCCCAGGCTTCTATTATAAGATATGAAACTAAACATATGCTAAAAGCCAAGTAAGTACAAAGACTGCACAACAGCACATTTCCAAGAAAATTGTCTTGTTGCAGAGGAACATGGACTATGAAAGGGCCTTACAGCATCTGCACATTTAATACAGGCTCTATCAGTAGCTATCATTGGTTACAATAGTCCCACTATTTATTTAATTTTAATATTAATTATATTAATATTATTAATATATTAATAAATTAATAATTTAATATTTAGATTTCTGCAGTTATTGTTTTGTAACTGTTTGGGGGAGTAGCATATAAAACGGGGCAGCATGTAGAAATCTAAAACTCCAGCCAGAAGACACCCCCTTTTTGTGTCTACGTGTTGCAGCTGTCTATCTCTTGGCAGCAGGCAGCCTGTGTAGAATGTGAGGTTTTTAGCACTGAAGCGTGGAAGAGAGAATTAAGGGGTTCTGAACTTAAAACATTATTTTCTAGGGAATTTCAGTCCTCACCATTGCTTAGTTATTTGGAGGCTGTAGGGTTGATCTTTTTTCCTTTCAGTAACTCCTTACATTCACAGTATGATAAACTGAGACATGTTGCTAACTCTTCACTTTCCTCAGTTCTGCAGCTTGGTAATCAAATGAATTGGAGCCAATTGCATGGATACCCAGCTGGGAGGAAAGGCAAAAAAAAACCTGTATGCGTGTATTTTGTTATTGGTAGGAGAGGAGGAAAGGAAGACACTTCACTTTTTTCCCATGAAACACTCTTGTATAAGCCAAACAAATGCTTTGTTACAGGGATGTCAGTATGGGACATTTTGTTTCTGCATAAATTATGGATAACATCATAACACCTAGGGCATAGTTACACCTTTTAATCTCCTCTTGTTTCACCTGGAAAGGCAGAGGATTTTGTGAGATGAGCCAGTGCAGGAGCTTCCCTCCAACACTGAGTTCTTGCATTTTGGAGGAAGCAGATGCATCATGCTTTTGTACCAAGCAAGCAAACTGGAAAGGGAAAAGTGTACTAAGACACTGTGAGACTTTCAATTTAAACCTCTTTTTTTAAAATTACTTTGTGCCTTCAGTTATGCGGGTGTTGTCAGAATAGAGAATGGAAACTGTGAACGCAGTGCTCTGAGAAACAGGGTTTGGGTGATGACCTCCATCTTCCTTGTAGGCTAAATCCATGCCTTTTGCCCAGGGTTTTCATTATTCCAGCCTGGCCTGAGATGTGGTTTTCCTCCGGCTGAGGCATTTGTATTGCTGTGGTTGTTGCATCTGCCCTGGGCAAGCAGAGAACGCCAGCGCAGGCGGTTCCATGCGCTGGTGGTACTGCTGCCTCGCTGGCGCTGGCTGGGCTGCTGCTCTGACTTAGAAAAGTACGCTTAAAGTTGTTCAGCTTTTTAGCGCACGGATGAAACCAGACTTTTCGCTTCATAGAAAATGGTCAACCTTTCTGAATCGCCCAGGTTCTGGTGTGCAAAGGCCGTGTGGTGGTGCTTGAGCAGGTTTCAGCTTTCTTTTTGTTGTCGTTGCTGCCGTCGTTCGTAACTTTAACGCGTAGCTTTAAAGGCCTTGCTCTTGGCGAGGCTGGTATTGAAAGTCGAGTGGAAATCATCCCGGGGAGAGGAAAAGGACAGGCTAACCTTGGCACCTGGGGCCTGGCTATTATGTTGCACTTCCTCTGCGGGGCGGCGCGGGGCGCGGGGCCGCCGGAGCGATGTTCTCACAGCAAATGGAGGAAGTTCCTCCAGCGGCAGCCGCGCTCCTGCATCTCCTCTCGCCGGGGGGATGGGGCAGGCTGGTGAAAGAGGGTTATACAAAGCACCGAGGGGAGGGGGTGGGAAAAAAAAGAGGCAAAACAACGACCCGGATCCTTCAGCTACGTGCAAAGCTCGACAGACTTGTGGGAAATACGAATACTTCGCGTGCTCACCGTTTTGGGGAGGGGTTGGGGAGCAAAAGGGTGTTTCTTTCCCTGGCGCTGCTGGCGGCGGGGAAGGTACCACGGGAAGGAGCCGGGAAGGATGGAGGGGGGCGGCCGCTCCTCTCTCACTGGTTGCTGACTAAACATTTCTGTCAGCTGGCAGTCGGCGCGGCCTGGGGATTTGCGATAGAGCTCCTGGAGGGTGGGGGCGGCTGCGCGGGGGGAAGGGAGGGAAGGGCTGGCCCTGCCG